TTACAACATCGATGACGTCCGGATAAGATTGCCAGTCTTCTATTATCTTTGACGCTTTGACAGGACAATGCACACCGCTTAGGGAAATGTTGAAAATTGTATATTTTATTATTACTTTACATTTGTGTTTTTTGCATTTGAAGTCTTATTTCACTTGGTTTAAATATTAAAAGAGGATCTAATAAGAAACTATTTGCAATTACAAAAGGTTTTATGTATGCCAGTAACAAAGTAATCTAAATGCTAGTAATTTAAAAATAGCTATATATAAACATACCATTAAAAACACACGAATTTACATTTTTTACGAGTATACTTAAAAAAAAAAATTACATAACATATACATATATATAGAATTTGAAAAAATAATTACATCTTTGTTTTTATTAAGACCACGACTGCAGCGAAGCATCCGAAACCAATAAATCAAATTAAAATTTAACTAATATATGTCGCGTTTTAAACCTTTTAGAGTGTTTTATCGAAACATTTATTCTTAATCAATATAAGTCTCGAGCATCAAAATATTGAAAAAATGATAAAAAGCAGCAAACAATTACGTTCGGAAAAGGTGAAAATGCGCGCGCTGTCACAACGCCACAAACCCCGTTCGTTAATTGAACTTGTGGGGCCAATATGGCGGCCTTCTTTTTTTAATTTTCCCATTCAAGCATGGCGATTCTATACAGCTATAGTCTACATTTCACGTAGGGCTGTCTAAAATTTATTATGGCATAATAAGAGAATGCTAAAGTGTTTATATTACCATATAAAATCATATTTTATCAAAAAAGAACCGGAAATATGTAAAAATCCTAACCCAATACTACCTAATTAAGATGTGTTACACTTCACGGCTTTTCTCCCTAAGAACGTTGAATGAATTTATATTCTATATGTTTTGCAGAATCCGTTGAAAAGTACTTGTAAATAATGTCTTGAATCTCAAAACATAATAGGTAAGACTAGGCAGAACAAACAAATATATTTTTATATTTTACGACACTGTCGACTTATTTCTTTTATGAGTATATTTTCGTTGTCATATTAATTCCAGTTATATAAGGAAAATAATTTCCACGAGTGGAAACCCTAAACTTAACCAATGTGCTTTCATTGCGCTATCACGCTTTTCAGCCCTGTCATCGGTTCACATTTTTCCCGCCAACACAAAACCAAACTAAAAATAATACAGCAGTTTCAACTCAAACAACAATGAACCTTATTACATTGCCTCCAAAGTAAATTTTCGCTTAGATGTCGTTGTTCGTACGACATTTTGCTACAAAAAGCTCGAAAGCACTGTGGTTTTTCGAATGAAATCCACTTTTGTGGATGACATCTGAATTTAATATCGCTTCAACAAATACATTTCATTAAATCATTATTATCGCTTATCAATAGCTGCTGCAGCCGCGGTTAAATGCACGATTCGTTTTATTAATATATTTTCAATAAGCTTAATTTGGTAGAACAGCTTCATACAACACGGGTATTGAAATATATGTCTAAGGATAATATAAGGTGGAAATTTTATTATTAATTATTCACATAGTCAAATCTATGTGTATTTTATCATGTTCTTAAATATGGTATTAAATTATACTCTTGGTCAATTTGTATAAGTTAGAAAGTTACAAACTGATATAGAATTAAAAATCCTCATCAAATAACGGCCGGTGATATTATAATGATAGACAATACTGACATAGATTAAAGACTATATTATCCTATGAACCATAATAACGATAGATAATACATATTCTTTATTCGTAGTCTGTGGAGCACCCGTAGTATATAAACCTACGCTTCCACAGATTAAATAAGGTGGGTGGCGAGAAATCCCGAGGGAGTGGCTCCAGGGTGACAGGGCTTATCTGTGCGCTGCACTCAGCCCGTCTTACAATGGTTTAACACAGTAATACCTTGTGCCATGAAATTATTTACCCAGTGAATGTTACGTTACGTCTAGTTCTGCTTTCGGATTTCAGAATGAGTCATACACCAATTAAGAAAATTATTATCGGCTTAAGGCATTAATTTTGTATAGCCTTATTTTATATAGTGTGCGACGTTTGGTCTTTGCCTAACAAGAAATTAAATACTGTCTGTAAGTTACGAGAGCAGTACACATTTAAACCGTTAAAGTTTTTTATTCAAAGAAGATTTCGAGATAGAATTCTTTCTATCTCGAAATTCGCTTTTTAATTTCTTTTGTAAATAATAAGTACCATAATTTTATATTTTAAAGTACATTTAACCCCAAACACATAGATATATATGAATTTTTATAATCTCCTCTCGTTAACAGGCTTACTTTAAGTTAAAAAATCCTATTTCTTTAAGATATATATGCCATTTCTGTACTTAAATCAGTTTCATCAATTCAATCAAAATAGCGCCTAGTCAAACATTTGAAACTTTTATAAAACCAGTTAAAAGAACTAAACTTTCAATTTGCCTATTATCAACAGAAAAATAAGTAATTTTCGTTATAAATATGAGGGTTTTAAGAGTATAATAGCGATCGGTGATAAGGTGACAGGTCGAAGCTTAGCGGTTTGAGAACGCTTGACGCTTCGCTTTACAGAGTTTGGGATTTACGTTAAAGCCGTTGGGTAGGGCTGACCCATTCAAAATAAATTTAAATTGGATTATACATTGAAAAAAATTGCGGGTCGGGCAGGACTCGAACCGGTATCGTCCCGTGCTGTTGCTCCGAACAATTGAGCTACCGAGTTCACATCTAGAAAACATTAAAGTATTCCCACCACATACATATAGGTAATTTATAAGTATTATATTTTTGTGTTTATTTAAGAGTTAACATTAAAATAAATAAATGAGAAAGGCGGTTATGAAGATGAAACAGTGGTATTATGCCTACTCCTAATAATTAAAAGGCTTGCTAAATTAATAATAATGAAACTAATATATTTCGCGTTATAAACCGTTAGTAGGCTGTTTATTGAAAATAATTTCAATGTTTGCTATCAAAGGTTGTTCAGCCCTACGGATCTCGTTACGAAGCCTCCACGGAGTCATCAGATAAGGGCCGGCGCTCAAGTTTAATTGAATTCCCGCAAAGTTTCCGCCACCCCACCCACTCGCTGATTGCTCCACCCTTCAAAGACATTGTTCCCTACCCTGCTATAGAGTATAGAGCATAGACTATTGAACACTAAACCTCCTTGCTCGAATGACATTCGATTAACTCTAGATTTTGTTAGTTAGATAAGTTTTTTACTTCTCTGAGACTAGAGCTTAGCTAAACTAGGATATTTTTATGATGGATAGACAAGCATGGGTTAATTGATGGAAGGTAAAATATCCCGGCCATATAACATCTAAACAAGATGTACTGTTGACCTATTTCGTCTTTAAATATTCGGAAATACTCAAACTGAAACCAAACGCGATTAAACTCTTCATTTGTGGACGGTAGTCGTAACCCGGATGGAATTTCGATATTGCTACCAAATACTTCCGGATATCCGGACGAAATTCAACAAGTTTCAGAAAAGTTAATATTGGACCCCGTGGGAATCGAATCAACGACCCTTTGATTATTAACCAAACAAGTTATATAAGGCTGTAGCGGCTTTTTCGCGGGCCTATAAGCTCTTGGTAATTGAAAAGCGTTGAAAGCTCGAAAACCTAAGTATCTTAGTATTAATATATATAAATGATACTATAAATCGTTAAAAACAAAGTCGCTATCAATTTAAATAGATTTTTAATTTTATATTAGGTACTATAAAAGTATGTGCAAAAGAATTTTACATAAGTACATTAAAGCAAATTGCATATTAACAGAATATTTATTGCTTCAAACTTATTATCATGACATTTTTTTCGCTCAGCAAAAATTCGGGGGGGGGAGGGGGGGGGGGGGGGGGGGGGGGGGGGGGGGGGGGGGGGGGGGAAGGCACCGGAAAAGAGGGGCGGAGGTAAAAAATAATTTTTAAATAAATTTTAAAAATAAATCGCGTTTTAAAACCGTAAAGGGGTTTTTTTAAAAAAGAATATTTATTGCTTCAAACTTATTATCATGACATTTTTTGTCAGCTTCGTGGTTTACTTACCATTTTAATTCCATTATGGACAATAACGATTACGAAATGTATGTTAAAACAATTTCTTGAATTGGACCGATTACTGTTAACATAGTGCGTAGTAATTTATATTGTTTGCGTATAGGAATAAGGGTTTTATTCGTTAATTTGTTTGCAAGGTCCTATGGCAACATGGAATTAGTTCCAGCTAAAAACTGGAGCGGATGTGGAAGATGCGTAATATGATTTTTTGCATTGTTCTGATAAAATATACATATCTCACAAAGTTTGTTGATATAGTAAATATTTTTAATCAAATATACGTTTGTCGAGATCATGATATTAAACGTATATCAACTGAGTAAGTAGCGGCTGCTTTGAGAATAGATTCTTGATAAATATTTACTCACCATTGTTTGTCATAGACAAAGCCACTTATAACCTACAGGGTATCAAGTCCAAGACATCTAAAGCGTTTTGTTATAACATATGTGAGGTAGGCATGTGCTTACATTAATTCAGTTTGTTGATCGATGACAAATTGATTTAACGAATAGACACGTTAAACACAGAATCAATCTATGCTATGTGATGATTTACTTTAATGAAGAAATATTGTGCTTATCTCTTTTTTTTTATTTTTCGCAACCTATGTAAAACGTTAATAATAAATGTATAAAAGCGCCATCTCTTCTAAACATTGAAAACTAATTCATTGAATATAACGAGTTGTTTTTTTATCCTACCCAATCTGTCACATTTTTTTAGAGTTGACATTAATGACACAACTGATAAGTCGTTACTTGAGAATTTGATAAGTGTAGCCGGTCGCAACACAATGTTTGCTTATTTTTAGGCTGCTATACTTAAATGCAATTAATCGTAAAGTACGACAAAGTTAACTGCTAACAGTTATTAGTTAAAAATTTGAATAGATATTAAACAATGGCTGAAAAAACTAAAAAGCTCAAAGCTCCAGTGAAACCTAAGAGGAGTTGGGTGAGATTTATATTGCTAAATATATTTGCGATATAAAGTTATATTATATTTATATTTGAGACTGGCTTATGAGCTTACAAGCTCGTAAAAATACATGGATATAAGAATATTTTGGAGATAATTAGTCAAATTTATTTAGTAAAAAACTAATAAGCATTCTGTTTCTTTAAAGTTAAGCTAATTTTGATTTCAGGCAATCCCTATTGTATTATCATCACTAGCTACTGTCGGAGCTTCATATTATGTCTATTATCTACTAAATGCACCCCCTGATATGCCAAAAGTAAATCTAGAAGCATACTGGGGTCAGTATCCTATGAACCCAAAACCAGATCAATCTATTAGACCATTCAAAGTGGAGTTCTCTGAAGTGGTAAGATTTTAAGAATTTAATAAAAAAAGTGTCTGGTAGTTTCTTAAGTAATGTCTAAATTGATGTAATGGTTAAGCTATGAAAAAACAAACGCACGCATTTTCTATCTGTATAGATTATTATATTGTATTGGTTAGGATATTAAATAAGAAAAAAATGTAATTCTTATTTTTTAATACCATCATTACTAATTTTCAGAGTATGTAAGTTATTTGTATAAAGACTAGATTTGTTTGAATAAGTTTATCAGTCCTTTCAACTTTATTTGTTTACAGATGATTAATGAGCTAAGAAATCTTTTGCTCCATCGCAGACCTTTTGCACCACCTCTTGAAGATGTTGGCTTTTCCTATGGATTTAACTCGAATTTCTTAACCAGAGTACTTGATTACTGGCAAAACAAATATAATTTTGCTGATAGAGAGAAATTTTTGAATAAGTATAATCACTACATTACAAATATACAAGGATTGGATATACATTATGTCCATGTAAGGCCAGATGTGACACAAGATGTTGAAGTAAGTATTTTATACTGAAATAAACAACAAACTTTGAAATAATTGAACAATAGTGTCATGTACATAGTACATAAGGATGTACTATGTATATACTCAATGATGTTATGTTTTGTGTACCTTTCTATCTGACCATAAAAACAAATGCAAAATAGACATATATGTCTACTACTTGTCATGTTTATATCAAGAGAATGTTATTAAATTTGTGCCATTTCTTTGCTGCAGGTAGTACCATTACTTCTTCTACATGGCTGGCCTGGTTCGTTCCGAGAGTTTTATGAACTAATTCCAGAGTTAGCACCCAAACAGGAGCACAATTTTGCTCTAGAACTAATCATACCTAGCTTACCAGGTTTTGGATTTTCTCAGGTATCATATATTTATATTCTACAATTAAAATTAAACATTAATCACTCTTATTTTATTAAAATTAATTAAGAAGTTTTTGACAGTTTATCTTTATTTGAAAGTTTTATTCTAATGCAGAGATGCACAGACCTTGGCCCGCTGGTCGAATACTGGTGGCCCGACACAGCAAAAATAATTCTTAAATTAATAAATTCTTTTTCAATTTTATTGCATTCTTAATTGTTTTTAATTACTGGCGTCTAATACTTCTGGCAGCCCATCTGTCTGTTCACGATTTGCCCAAGTAGCCCCTAGTCTGAATAAGTCCGTACATCCTTGTTCTAATGCAATGGGCTATATATATAGATAAATAAAAATATCTATGAACTTGAATGATAAAGATTATAGTGATAAAATCTCACTTCTCACTTATATTTACTTACACCTAAGGTAAAAGTATGGATGGTCAACAGGTTTGTAAATTTAAAAGTTATTTTTTCTTCATCAGGGACCAGCACGCACAGGCTTAGGGTCATTGGAGATGGCGGTAGTTATGCGAAACTTAATGGAGCGCATTGGACACAAAAAGTATTACATACAAGGTGGCGACTTTGGCCACATAATAGGGTCGATAATGGCAACAGTTTTCCCTGAGAATGTGCTGGGTTTCCATTCTAACATGCCAATGGTGTTCTTCCATCCAATGGCAACATTTTACACACTTTTAGGTTAGTTTAAAATGAATTGAAACACATTCTGTTCTGTTTGAAACGTCTTTGAGTCTTATTTCAATGTTTTTTAAGTATCATGGTACGAGTATTTTCCTATATTCTAAATTAGTTGTGTCTGCGTATTCGTTAGTGTGGAATGATTAATTTACGCATCATAATATTGTTTTATATGGAAAACGTCCTTTTCAGCTTTATAAATTATACACGTAAACCACGACGTCGTCCACGGCCCGCCGTTCTTACGAGCAACCAAAAATATAGGCATATTCTGACGAAGACATTTTTAGATTATTTAAAGAAAAAATATTCTATCATACGTACATACGTACGTTTTTAGGTTTCTTCAATCGTTTTCGCAGCGCACGCAATGGGATCTCTCAAAGATGAATAATCTTCCACATTTTCCGCTGTTTCCCACCTCCTAAATGTAATTTCAACCTTAACACAAGATTGAAATTACATTGCGCGAGAGGTGCATGTAACAATAAGTTGAAAAAGTTCGTCGATGAGGTGTAGGACTCGGTAGCTCAATTGGCAGAGCAACAGCACGGAACGACGACGCTGCCGGTTCAAGTCCTGCCCGAGTCGCAATTTTCGTCAATTTATTTTCGATCTTTAAAATATATACTGCCATCATGTGAATAATATTAAAGTTTTCAAACTTTAATTACATTAAAATTGGCATTCATCACATTTCAGGCTCAATAATGCCCAGCCTCATAGTGGAACCAGAGATTTATGATCGAATCTACCCTCTTAGTAAACAGATGTCATTTTTGCTAGAAGAAACAGGCTATTCACATTTGCAGGCCACTAAACCAGACACCGTTGGTAAGTTGTAAAATTTATAAATTTCTGCTTAAATACGTATAAGAAATAATTTTCTGTTTTTTTTTTGTCACATCAACAATAGGTATAGCCCTAACTGACTCACCAGCTGGACTAGCAGCATATATCCTAGAAAAGTATTCAACTTGGACAAATCCTAGCAACAAAAGAGCTAGTGATGGTAATCTTCTATCAAATTTCCTGTTGACGCATCTCTTGGATAATGTCATGGTATATTGGGCTAGCAATTCCATAACTACCTCCATTAGATTTTATGTTGAAGCTTTGGGTAGCAGGCAAATGGGGTACAAGTTGGATAGGTAAGTAATTGTACCATACGTTTTCTTAAATCATTTCAAAACAAAGCACCTCTCAGCAGTCAATTGGTCACATTTTGCTAAGTGTTTTAGTTTAGAGGCAGAGTAACCTAGCTGCTTTTTTATGACTTTATTTTCCTCCTTATTAAAAATCATGTTTTTGTTATTAGGTCACTCTCTAACTCTAGCAGCCTCATATAACCCTTGTAATTTTTGTCTTGAGTCATATAAATCAATATTAAATTAGAAGTAATAAAATTAGGCATTGCCTACCTTTTATTAAAATATCTAACATATTGTTTTCAGGATACCAACAAAAGTACCCACATGGGGCATTAAATTCAAATATGAAATGTTCACACAACCAGACATTATATTAAAGCTCAAATATCAAAACTACTTGCATACAACAATCGTAGATGGAGGCGGCCATTTTGCTGCCTTTGAATCTCCGAAGATATTAGCCCAGGATGTGTTGCAAGCTATTATTATGTTTAGGGAATTTTGGGGTGTCAGGTCAGTACAGTAATATGTTATTTATCTTCAGAAAAATCTGCTTAATTTAATGCTTGTTTCTGGATCTATGTACCATATCAATAATTTTGTAACAATATTTTCAGCAAAGAAAATGTTCAAGACTTACCACAACCAGAACCCGACATGGCTACATCGGTACATGAATTTACTGTACGAGATATATATGGCAGAACTATCAAACTAGACAAGTACAAAGGCTATGTTCTGCTAATAGTAAATGTCGCATCGCAGTGCGGCCTCACAGACAAAAACTATGAACAACTCAATGAATTATACAATAAATATTCAAAAAGCAGAGATTTCAGGATACTAGCCTTCCCGTGTAATCAATTTAATTCTCAGGAACCTGGCACTTCTAAGGACATAATAAAATTTATGAACAAAAGGAATATTGAATTTGATGTTTTCCAAAAGATAGAAGTGAACGGTGAAAATGCTCATCCACTGTGGAAGTTCTTGAAGAGAGTTCAAAGTGGAACACTGGGTGATTTTATCAAGTGGAACTTTTCAAAGTTCATCGTAGATAAGAATGGAATTCCTGTAGAACGATTTGGACCTAATGTAGACCCGATAGATTTGGAGCCACATTTGGGTAAATACTGGTAACATTGTATTTTTGAAGTGATAATGAGTGCCCACTAATCATGCAGTCCCTTTTCCATTTCTGGCCTTTTAAGAGTTTGGAAAAATAACTTTTATAAATACTGCTGTATAATAATAAGATTATTTACTCAGTGTATGATATTAATAAGAATTATCTTGAGTCATAAAATATGGCAATACTCAATACTAAAAGAAATGAGTCGTGTAGTATCAAATGTCATAGGTATTATGGATGAAATATGCTTGGTTTTGTGTTAAGGAATTTCAATACTTTTTATACCACAACATGGTTATTCTGTTTGAATGTCCATACTCTTAAATTATAATGTGTATGATGCAATACATTTTTATTATGATTGTGTTAATGTGTTTAGTGTTAAGTACCAAGTGCCAAGGTCTGATTTTTATATATTTTTATTAAAGTTTATTAATATTTCTTAATTTGTTTTATTCAAACTACATTTAAACCCAAGTAAGTTTTCGCAATATTATTATAATTATTAAAAGAAAGGAAGGTTGAAAATAAAGTGAGGGGGTAGTTGATTTTAAACTGTCTGTCTTGAAAGCCTCAAACGAGAGAAGTCTTGCAGAGTGTTTCTAGAACTTGACTCGCTCCATTGAAGATCTGGGTTCGCAGCTATCATCTATAACCATAACTTCGTCTAATTTTGAAACATGACTAAAACTATAGTGGAAAAACTACCTTCATAAATTTTTACTTCTGTACTAATCAAACGATGTACTTGTTTTCTATACCAGATACTGTAAATAGTATTACAAATAAATAATACAAATATCATGATATAATATCATATTTAATTAAAAAAACCTTGCCTTATAGATTCTTAATGATTTACAAATATATTTTAAACAAATTATCAAGTAAGTATTGTAGCGTAAATGAAAGTATAAAAAGTACATATATGTAATATATATATATATTGCAATATTGGTGTTTGTAGAAGATACATATGGAATAGGCTACTTACCTAGATAATTAATTAAAATACTTCATACTCTTTTGTGGTTGGGTTCATTTTCAGTTTATTGGACATTAAATTAAACAAATAAGGCAGCAGTTGTGTTTGAAAGAAATGCTGGAGAAAGTTAAATAAGCCAAACCACAGATCTAGAAATCTACTTAGGGTATATCCTTAATAACCTCAGCCAGCTGTTCCCTCGAAAACATGTGGAACATAGATCCTGGTGTCATAGTGACCACTTCTACATTGCTCTCAGATAATTTTTCCTCCATAACTTGCTTGAGGATAGTCAGAGCAGATTTGATAGCTTCTTTTAAGGTCATTGACTTGTGATACACCTCCTGAAATAAGTATTTAACAGATTATCATAGAATAAAATATAGCAACTATGACAGTACTACCTCTTGTTAAATGTTACCATCTGTATGTAAATTTATGGAAAATGTGAAGAAAACAGGGAAAATCATCTTTGTAGCATTTTGTTGTGTACGCTATGGAAAAAGGTTCAAGATACCCAAAAAAAGAAAGAATGATTTCTCTTAAATGGTTTTAATTATTTTTTTAAAGATTAACTTAAAAGAGCGACAATTTTAAAAGAATTGGCACTAATTTAAAATATTACAACAATAAATATCACTTACAGATTAAAAGAAAACATCAGTAAAATTTTACCTTTAAACTTTGCTGAGCACCTTCACTACCAGAACCGATGGCTTTAGCATCATACTGCACAAATGTACCACTTGGATCCATGTGGAAAAGTTGGGGCCCCTTCTCATCAATACCTATAAAGAATAAGTAAGATACACATTATATAGCAGTTTCAAAATTTTAAATAACATGTGTATTTACATGTTATTTAAAATTTAAATACACAATACATTTTAAATGAAAAATTCATAAATTCCAAGATTTCCGAGATTTTACATACAAAACATCTTATGTTTGGATAGAATTTTATTGTCCCAAAATGTGAGTAGAAATAGTTCACAATTTGGTTAAAAAACTTATCAGTTTTTGTACAAGAATTATTATGTATTAGAAATAATTTTATACCTGCAAACATAACAGCAACACCGAAGGGCCTTGACATAGCTGTACCACTGTCATCATCACTGTCGCCGAATTGTATAGCCAAATTTGAGACAGCCTGTGCGCATGATTCCACACTCATTCTCTCGTTGTAAACAAACCAGTGGTTCTGGCATTCTACACGAGCTCGTTCAATAAGAGTTCTGTAAAAGAATTATAAATTAAGGTACCAAATTTTACAATGATAAATAATAAACAAGAATGATAAATAAGAGGTTTATTTATATAATTCTTGTTATTTTTATTCACTATTAAAAAAATTGCGATCAAGAAGGTATTGGGATTTATTTATAGTAGTTGCTATAAATCTTTTCATAATAAGTCATAGCAGATTTCTTAGAATATAATAAAATATTTTTTATTTAAATTTGCAAGATAAGAAGGGTATAAAATATAAATTCTAAACATTTTTTAAAGGAAATTAGATATACATATATCAATCTTTATACCTTTAGTTTCTTACTATGCAATTATGGAAATGCAGTTAGTAAAGTTAAATATTATAAACAAAACAGATTGACAAGATTTATATAAATAATATATTCATAGTCTATATTTTGTTACAACCTCTGTAGCCAAATGGTTAAACATATTGCCCAGCATTGCGTTAGGCACGAGGGGTCCTGGGTTCGAATACCAGGGAAACATAAAATTGTTTAGGTCGGGCAGGGCAGAGAAGTCTGATCAACTACTTGCATGTTAAACGAACAAATCAGCGAAACAGACACAGAAATGTGTTCACCTCGTGCCCCATGAGGGGGAAACGGGCTTACACATTTTTTTCATATATTTTGAGTAAATGAATCCCCAATATCAGTAATTTCAGACATAAAGATGAAGTGACCTGGAATCAGCCATAAGACCAGACACAGCACAAGCAATATGTCGGTCTACTTCAACGATCTTTTCTATTGTAGTCGGTTCCATTAGAGGCGATGTTATTCTTTTCTCCACGGCCAGTACTACGCCCTCTGAAGTACAAATTCCAATCGCGGTCGACCCCAGCTTAATAGCTTCTATAGCATATTCCACTTGGAAGAGTCTTCCTTCAGGGCTGAAGGTGTTAACACCACGATCGTATTCCGAGCGCGTAAGAAACATCTGCAGAACCGGTAAATTTCAGGTTACTTGAGAAGTTCAAAGCATTTTGTATAAAACAAAACAATTACTTACTTTTAATTTGTCTTAGATTTAGTAGGAAAGAATTTAAGTTTAGAATGCAAATAGTTTCAACTTTTTACTTCGTGAGTAATCAAAATTGTTTAAAACGATGACAGACAGAAATGCAAATTCATAGCTTGCTATTCGACATTGTCAAACCCATGTCAAAAACTACTTTGAAATTGACACATGACATAGATAATATTGTATATTCTTTGTTTTGCCCACAGGTAACATAGAAAGCAAGGTTTACTTATTTCTCCTACAAAGACATAATTAGGAATATAAATTATTCTTATATATTAGGTGTTTTAATGTTTTTTTTATATAGAAAATCTGCTACTAATTTATGTTTTTCGGAAAGTGTCTAAGGTATAGGTCGCGGCACGGATGTTTAGCGCTAAATGAAGTGTAGAGTAGATAGTTGCGCATCTGTACAATCTCGCACGTAATTGATTGGAAAACGTGACTGTAGCGGAAGCAAGCGGAGCGTCGTATTGGTCCGAGAAAGACAACAAGACTGGGGAACCAATCAACGCTAGCGCACATGACGTTCACTCGCCCCGCGCCCGCTTCCGTCCCTTCGATACCTTATTTTTGACTTCTGCGCAGGATTCGTTCAGCCATAAAGATCCGTGCCGCTACTATACCTTGTACCTATATACAAGTAAACTATCCTTTTAAAGGATTATTACATTTTTCTTTATTCAGCAATTTGTAATTAAAAGTTCAAACTGCACCGCAACTGTTTAAATATTATATAGGTCATTCTAGATAACTGGAAATAAGACCATACTAATTGGTTACTTTGTTTTAACAGAAAATATACTATTTACATAAGCAAAAATATAACAAAGCAGATAAGTCCCTAGCATTGCAATAATATAGGGCGCTATGTTTTTTTTTATTTATTATTGCTATACTTTGAAATTAAATCTTTTTAAATTGAAATAACATAGGAAGGAATCGAATCAGTCGACACGGGCGAGAATAGAACGGGCATCCACAGCGATTCGTGCTGCTGCTACAAACGATGAATGATAAAGTGTTGAAATACTATGTTAGATATAATAATTAGTATGTATTAGTCTGGCAGATAACCGTAGAAACGTATTCAATGAGATGTGTAATCGTATCTAGGACCCCCTTAAAAATCTAGGCATCTAATAACCAAATATCGTATTCTTTAAAATGTTTAAACGTCACTGCATTTATACACGTTTCACAGATAATAAGTATAAACTCATTCGATGTCTTCATTGTTCGATACCGACATGTATAGATATGTAAATTTGTAAATTGTATACCTACTACATCATATCTGTATAAAACACGTTTCAGAGTCGCGCATTGTAGTATTATTTAGTGGAAGTCGTAATTCGTTACAATGACGACGTGTTGTACACAGTAGAATCGGCTTCGTGTCGAATAATTTGTAAAACATTTTTTTAGATAGTGTGGTTCAACGTACTTGTGGATAGGAAAAGCAACCTATAATTTTATCACATAAATAGGTAAGAGTGACAACTCATCATAGTATTTTTTGGGTTTTAATTTGGTGACATTAATAAGGGGGTCCTCCCTATATTAGAGGGCTTTAGTCAAAATAAAGTAATGTGAGTGACTAATTTAAAAATTATTAAAATCTACCGAAACTCCAGCTGTTCATATTCAACACATGGGTTTAGGAACGGGGATGTAGTGAGTATAACACTATACTCACTACATCCCCGTTCCTAACCGGATTGGGCCAGCCGTTGATTTTATATCCTGTTGATATTTCTTTAAAATATATTCAACTATAATTTAAAAGTAACATACCAAGTAAAACTTGTGATTTAGGTTGTCAAGCTAAAACTACAATTTTATATAAACGACAATATTCGCAATGCAGTCCATATTTTTTTAAACGTCTTAATTATTGAATACATATACAGAGTAGCTACTCTGCTTTCTAATTACAAACACTATTTGTTTTTATTTGTATATGTGCCTGATGAATTGTTATATCAGCTGTCTTATTGCTAGAAGTCTGGCACAGTATAAAGAAAATATTGTATCCTGAGCAAAAAAACAAACAAAAAGTGTAATTTTTGTTTAGACTTAATTTGCCACATGAATTTTAATTCTTATTTTGCAATGTTGGAACGAACGACCTACATGGGTAGCAAGTTTATTGCATCCTTAGATACAAAAAAAACATATTCAAATGAGCAAGACGAACTGTATAATTTAAAAATCGAAAATAAATTGAAAAAAATTTCGACTCGGGCAGGACTTCTACCGGCATCGTCAGCAAGTGTTAAGGTTGAAATTACATTGCGCGAGAGGTGCATGAATCAATGAGTTGAACAAATTCGACAATTAGGTGTAGGACTCGGTAGCTCAATTGGCAGAGCAACAGCACGGAACGCTGACGATGCCGGTTCAAGTCCTGCCCGAGTCGAAAATTTTTTCAATTTATTTTCGATTTTTAAATTAAATAGTGCCTTTATGTGCAATAACATGTAAACAAATAATACAGTTTTCAAAAGACGAACTGTGATAAAAATAAGTGTAAATGCCTTTATTGATTGCAGCTCCTTTGAAAGTCAGCATGGCAACTGAAAAGGACAAAAGATTACAAGGCATCGCCGCTTTCGATAAACAACTGCACTACTATACAATAACATTTGAAAGTGGCGAAGAAGCGAGGCTGTATATTCTCAACGACCACGTGTTCCGTTACTATATGTCACCGACAGGCGAATTTATGGATTATCCAAAACCACACAACACCGCCGATACCGCAAAAATTATAGCTAAAGACCAAGATAGCTACGGATATGAGGCACATAACTATTCAACGCTCAATAACGAAAAATTACACTACATTGTTCAAACGAGACACATAAGCATCGTCTTTGATAAGATAACAACAACAATAAAAGTGCACGATACTAGACGCAACAAAGATGTATTGATCGAGTTCACCTCCTTATCGTATGACGACGAAGAAAGCACACAAACCTTATTTCAAAGTTCTGATGAGTATTTCTTCGGCGGAGGAATGCAAAACGGCAGATTCACGCACAAGAATGAAGTTATAGACATAGCTAACACAAATAATTGGATTGACGGTGGAGTAACTTCACCTTGCCCTTTCTACTGGTCTACAAACGGCTACGGGATACTTAGAAACACTTGGCAGCCAGGAGTATACGATTTCGGAGTTAACTCCAGCGAGATCATACAAACTACTCACACCGAGATAAAATATGACGCCTATTACTTCATTAGCTTCCAGCCAATGGACATTTTAAAAGACTATTACGAATTGACAGGATATCCTTTATTAATGCCAGAATATGCGTTTTACGAAGCACACTTGAACGCATTCAATCGTGACTATTGGGTCGAAGTAACTCCTAATACTCAAGGAGCAATACTATTTGAAGATGGCAAATACTACAAGTGCTATCAGCCGAAAGATATGGACGAAAAGACTGGTATTTTGGAATCACTAAACGGCGAGAAGGATAACTATCAGTTCTCAGCCCGAGCTATGATAGATAGATACAGACGACACGATATGCCTCTAGGATGGTTTATACCCAATGACGGTTATGGATCGGGCTATGGCCAAACAGACACGTTAGAGGGCGATATTAAAAACCTAAAACAGTTTTCTGACTACGCTGCGCAACAGGGCATTGAAGTCGCCCTATGGACTGAATGTAATTTAGAACCTGTAGATCCTCTTAACCCGAAGAAAGGTGATAGGGATTTGGCAAAGGAAGTGAGTATAGCTCATGTAGTAGCCCTAAAATGCGATGTCGCATGGATCGGAGAAGGTTACTCCTTTGCTCTAAGTGCCGTCGAAAACGCTTCCGATATTTTTGTGAAGAATACTAAGCGACGGCCAATGATTATAATGGTGGATGGATGGGGTGGCACGCAAAGATATGCTGGTATTTGGAGCGGTGATCAGACCGGAGGGGAGTGGGAGTACATCCGTTTACACATACCGACATATATCGGATCGGGCTTATCCGGCATGCCAATTGTGGGATCTGATATGGACGGCATTTACGGAGGAGGCTTAAGAGAAGTCAATATCCGAGATTATCAATGGAAGACATTCACTCCCCTACAATTGAATATGGATGGCTGGGGACGCATTCCTAAGACACCCTTTAGCTTTGATGAAGAAGCACAAACGATTAATAGAGCGTATTTAAAATTAAAGTCAATATTAATGCCGTATAACTATACCTTGGGATATGAAGCTATCCACGGATTGCCGATGATCCGAGCTATGTTTTTAGAATTTCCACATGAGACCAGTTCATATACTAACGATTCAAAGTATCAGTTTATGTGGGGATCAAGTATCTTAGTAGCACCCATCTATAATGATAAATCCTGTAATGACGATTCTATTCGCGACGGTATTTATCTTCCAGATAAAAATCAATTATGGATAGACTTTTTTACAGGTCAGAAATTTCAAGGCGGTAAAATTTACAACAACTTCGTATCACCCTTGTGGAAGATACCAGTATATATCCGAGAAGGATCTATTATACCTATGACAACTCCAAATAACAACCCTAACGAAGTAAAAAGAGATACGAGAATATTCACAATTTACCCAAACGGTAACCATAGCTTCGTTTCTTATGAAGATGACGCTATTTCTTCAGAGTATTCAAATGGCCAGAAAGCAGAAACACAAATAAACATCGTCGGGCCAACATCCAATGCAACTGGGTCACTGCTCGTAACGATATATAAAACTAACGGTTCTTATAAAGGTATGGTAAAAGATAGAACTACGGTACTGCAAATAATGTGCACGAGAAACATAAATAAGCTTAAGGCGTCTGTTAACGGTGAAAATGTGAAGCTAAAAAAAGTGCACACGGAACAAGATTTCAAACAAAATATCAATTGCTATTGCTTTACTAAGAATTTCGTTATTAATCCATTCATGAACGAAATAAGCAGAACTGGACAGAGTTTTTTGTTAATAAAAATAGATAAATTGGACATAACTTTAAGTGAGATTAATATAAAAATTGCAGACTATACAAACGATGCTGTTATTTTTGGTAGAACAGGTGAAGTTGATTCAACTATTCCAGCACCAGAGGGATTCCAAGACAAAGAAAATACTCCTAATAGCATAACCATGGAATGGAAAGATGTTGATAAAGATTTTTATGAAATTGAAAGAGACGGTGTCGTATTTACAAATATAGTAGGTACAAAATTCACTTTCGACAATTTTGTATGCAACAGTGAACACAACTTCAGAATTAGAGCTGTGAAACATGGTAAAGTATCAAACTGGACCAAATTGGTCACAGGAAAGACGAAGGAGGACCCGTATAAAGTATAGTACCCGTGTAAAGTATAAAGTAGGAAAGCCACTATTCCAGTACTATAAGTGTCTTGCAACATACCGTGTCAACCGAACCAAGAATTATTTAAAATAGTGAATACGAATCCAAATAAAATCTGGCACACGCACTGGACTGACAAAGGGAAGGCGACAATTGAACCCTTGGTCCTGAAATTTGATCTAGGCGCAGTTCATGATGTTGCCAGGGTGGATTATTTTCCCCGGAACGACGCTGGAAATGGAACTTTTCTTGAACTACAATACAAATATTCCCTTGACAGCAAAGGTTGGTCACAGTTATCTGAAATAATTAAGTTTAATCTCGATAGTAAAACTAAGACTATATTAGTGGATAAGAGGTTCAGGTATATCGAAATAATTGCGACCAAAACTGTCGGTGATTTTGGTTCTGGTAGACAAATATTGTTTTACAAGAAATAAATGTTGGATATTGTTACCGGTGCGAAATCCTTAAAGGATAGTTGCAAAGCAATATTAAATTAGATGAAAACACAAATAATCTTCCAAAAGTCGCCTATACAATGTGAGCATAAGCATAAAGAAGTTATCATTAAAAAATAAATTAGGCTGAGCTGAGTCAATCTGTATTTTATATCAAAATTAATTACTTCAAATTAATAACTTAAACATATTTAAGATTTCTATCCTTTCTTACGAATAAGAGATCTAATCTTTGAACAGAGAATTCTTGAGAAGAGCAAATTAATTCTGTAAATCATCAGCGTTTCTTACAGCTACAATCATACAAATAGACGTATTAGCATCAAACACACAACTTATAGACAAATCCTCGAGCACACAGCTGTATTCATGGTCTGGGTACCTCGTCCTCACATATAGAGACCTCGGATCTTCAGATAATAAACTTTCTATACTTGTTTTAAAGCCCTCTGCCCTATCTCCTATGAGGTTGTTTAATCTGTCTAAAGCTTCATCTGTAAAGCGAACATTGTATGTCTGTGAAGGAGGATTCGTAATCCAATTTGGTACTCTGATTCCATCACTGATGTTCATAAGAGTTCGCTGTGGTGGTGTAAACCTCTCCTGTCCATCTGGGTCGCCCCTCTGTATTGGAGATCGACTGTCCAATAGATCCACACTGAGTGGTGAGACTGCCGCCGAAATGGTATCTTGATTCAGGGGTGAAGGAATTTCTTCATCAAATGGTGAATCCATGGAACTTGTGTCTATGCCAATGGGGTTTATAAGGCGTGGACTTAATCTGCAAAAATGAAGGTAGTTCATTCTTATTAATGTATAAGACAAAAATTTATAATGCTCGTGTTAGTGTGGAAGGATCACCCGACCTTCTATAGGTTCTCTTGTTCTAGTAAGTCTTTACTAAACATTAGTATATATATATTTTTTTTTTAATATCTGCGATCAGTCCCCAGGCTATGAGCAGTGCGATGTATCTATTAGTATACATATAAATACAATTTAGTATAGGTATGAAACACTTTCAGACTGTAATGTATTAAGTAGTAATCTGATTTGAAATAATCTACATTCATAGCTGATATTCATAAATTGTTTTGTGTGGTACAAGTCAATAATACTAGGGGAGTTAATATTGTAACGTAATAATCAAAATAATAAAATATAAACAAAGTTTCTCTGAACAATAACAAACAAATTTTTCCACCCTAATATTATCACAATATAATAAACATTTATACATATTACCTTCCATTATCCGGCACATCATTTAGCTGCAAATTATTTATTTCCAACGCATCACTAGTGCCCTCTGTAGGTGGACGGTCTAATGTTATTGATTCATATGTCTGCATAGGATAGTCATATTGAGGTATGTAAGGTTTTATATCCAGAACTGGTGTATTATTAATCATGTCAACTCCATTGAAAAATATTTTGTTGCCTGAAAATGTATATTTTAAAATTCCATTGTAATAAAAAATGAGGTATCTTATCATAAATACTGTCTATAGTTTACGCGATTAGTAAATATTTAAATAAAACACTTTAACGGTTTAAAACGCAATATATTAGTTAAACTTATTTGAAAACGATTTTTAACTTCGGCCCGACGTTTCGGATGCTTTGCAGCAGCCGAAACAGTGGTCACGCGGAGAGAATTATTTTTAAATAAGTTTATAATATAATAACTAATATATCGCGTTTTAAACCGTTTAAGTGTTTTATTTAAAAGTATCTTATCATTTCACTAATAATATAAAAAATATACTTATAGATAAATTTATAAGTTTTGAATAGCTGAACAAAATCTTATGTTATTTTGTTTAAGAAATTTCTAGAAACAAAAGTATTATGTTATTACCATTAAGGTGCATATTATTTTGTTTCTGCATATTCATTAGACAAGTAATTGCATACAGTAATTTCAAAATACAGTCTTGATTGTTGTTGAGTTTATAGGACGATTATCCATATTTAATAAAATATTTACTATTTCTCAGAATTTGAACTTATGATCCCAAAGCACATAGTTTAACAACAATAATTCAACATTTTTTTTCAGCTAATGTTATACTAGTAGTATTAGTAGTAGTGTTATACATTTTTATACCTTCAATACTCTGTATCTTCACCAGTGAAAGACCAATAGAGCATGGTCTGTGAGGAGATCTAGTTGAGAATACTCCTCTCCTCTCGCCATCAAGGCGTGGAGGTGAAACTTTAGCTGGCACATTTGTACTGGCTGTTGAGTGAAAATGGAAGATAATCCTGGAATCAAGTCATTTAACATTATTATAAAGATTAATTAAATGATCATTTTACTTTATCCAAAAAGCACATGTTTCCATATATGTATAGACTGAATATAACAAGAAACATTTATGTTTAAAAGAATTTGTTGGATAATAATTATTGTACAAACCTATTAATAACTGCACTCCATACTATTTTTCAAGTAATCAGTACATAAAGTGGTTTTAAGAAAGTATGGAATTAATCACAGAATTATAAACTAGTGATAAAGAATTTTTAATAAAAGTTTTTAAACAAATTGAAAAAGTATGTTATAAAAAAAAACACAGGCCATACACAAATCCACAACACAAAAAAAAAAAAATATTTAAGCTATCATGAGCATATTGTTATAAAATCTATAAATAAACAAATTATAAGTATGTATATATTAAGTTTTTGAAAACTCACCACATGTGAGAAAATTCTTCAAGTCCACTCAGAGCATGTTCAGGGTTATTAAATGTGTCTGTATTTATGACAACTACTCCTCTAGCACTGTATAGTACTGATGGTTGTCGAGGTACAGCCCGTTTATTCTCAAAAGATGTTTCAATATACCCAATTGGAGAATAGGTAATATTTGTGGATGTGGGACTTTCATCAAAACTTTGTTGGTTGGGAGTAACTGTTGTGGCTGGAATTTTATAATATTATTTATATACAAACGTTTGTTAGATGAAAATTATCAGTATCTGGGGCAGTTATAAATAAATAAACCGGTATTCCATTAGGAGGCTGACGTCTTAAGGAAATGAGGAACACAAATGTATTGTCAGTAAAATGATACTATAAGGCTGATTTTATAGAATTAACACTATACTGAATACTTTGTCCATACAAGACTGTTATGAAGCATTTTAGTTGACTTAGTTACCTTTCTCAATGCAATTTCCACACCGAAGACTGCTCAACATGGATTTTATGGTTTTAATTTCCTTTGTATGTTCATGCTTAAGTGCCGAAAGTTTTTGTCTGCAGAATTTATTTATTTATTTAATTATAAACATATTCTACCATTAGAGAAAAATTCCATTGCGATAGACTTATTATATACACATTTCATAGAATAATGTTTTTGTCAATTCACCCAAGCTGCACGTAAAAATGTCGATCCCCTCTTGCAGCTTATTGATAACACGCATAGCACGGACAAGAGGGGATTTCATCAGCAAATTGGTGCGTGAGTACGGCAGCGCAAGTAACGGTGGTCGTAATCGCACCTCCACACGTATCGGTCCGGCACTGACAAGTGTATGGACTGTAGAACTCCTGAGTTCAACTCTCGACCCCGCAATACTTTTACCAGATATATCACAAGGAATAAGTCCCTCCGTACCTTCAATTCATTGTACCCGACCATGCCTAATATAAAAAGAGTCTGATACATTAAAGGATTGGAAAGGAAAAATTGTTGCGTTATATATATTAATGTTTTACTCATACTCAATGGCCACAAAAATAATTTACAATAATGGATACTAACAATGTTTGGGTAAAATTTATAAGTCATTACCGCAAATTCCTTATTTCGGTCCTTGCCAATACAATCTGGTTTTGATAATATTCGAGATTTTCCGACATCTTGTGTTAGTTGCAAGCCTAAAACGATATTTTACCTTGATAACTTTTATGTATTAATAATTAATTACTGTTATAATTGTTCATGAATACAAATATTTATGTTTCATTGCATCTTAAATCAAAATATCTCCTAATGACAATTAACCTTACATAGCTGACAGCTATCAAAATGTCAAAAATGCAAGATTTGTCATTGGCAGAACCATTTAGAATGGAATAGCCCAAATTAGGAAGAAGAAGAAGTGAATTTTTATTAAAATGTCCCAGAAAAGTTTTTTGCAAATAAAGCAATTTACCATATTAATACTTTGTAAATTAGCAATATTAAATTAATAATTTAAGCACTATTAAAATTAAAACAACACAGTGGCTTTTAGCCATTATTTGTCCATAAGTAATAAATTGTATCCCTCTTAATTATATAAGTTTTGAACAGTGCTAAATATGATCTACAGAAAACACTCAATTATGTGCATTAAGTGATTATAACTTAGATATGCAAAGGCGAGACCATCTTTGCATTCTGCAATTACGTAGGTACAAAGATTAGCATGGAATGACTATTTCGGTGAATTACTGCTGATCAGATTACTCTGTCACGCTGCATGTTACCTGAATTTATTTTATCCAATGCTTTATGGCTCATGTCTAGCTTAATTTATTGTTCTCTACATAAGGCCTATTTTAATTTATGTTACTGCACGACAAGATTGCTCTATTTGGTTGAAGCTAAACAGAAATGGGAAGAAATAAAAATAATTCTTAGGATTTTATATGTGTTTGAGTTTATTAGAGTAACAATTATCCACACAAAGCCTATACTTATGTGATACTTATTAGTAGGAAAGATTTTAATCGACTGATTTGGTAAAAATAGATTGCGCTATTTCATTGTTAGGTATACGGTTTTGTTGAGTTTTGATTAATAATAAATCCTTTTACTGTTAAATGTTAATTAAAAGTTGCCAACTTAAAGCCGTTGATAAAGTTTAAGCTCTGTTGGGGACCATTATTTAAACTTTTAATGATCCTTGTCTGTAGATTAGCACGATTTTCTCTTGTTAGTCAGTTAATCCTGTGACCTTATCTGCTTTGGTGCATTTAATGCAGGACTATATAGCTACGTTCTTAATAGGTTTTCAATAAAATAAATAACATTTTGTGAAATCTTTATTTTTTTGCTGGTATGAATAAGTTAGACCTTACAAAACGGAATGCGTTAATTACTTAATACGAATAGAGACTACTACCACAGTGACTAAATAATGTAATTAAACCCAAAAAAAAAACAGTAAAATACAATTTAAAAATGTGAATACTAAAATATGATAATAGCCTCTATTCTCTAATTTTAAAACTAATTTAAAGCCGTTGTCTCTACAAATTGATCGTATCTTAGCTATACTATTTAATTTAAATCAAATACTGGTGGCATACTATAATATGTACATATATGTTAACATATTAAAATCTATGCTACAACTGATAAACTACTACTTTATATTTAATTACGAATACATACAAGGTTTAAACAGTTTGATATTATGAAAATATTATTTACCACTACATTACAATCATTCGAGTTTTCTGTTGAAAGATATGTATCTTAAAGACGAAGATAGTTTGAAAAATTATACCTATAATATTAAAAAGTCGTATATATGTGAACAAAAATAAATTACACACTTCACACAGCGAAATACATATGATTTCTTTCTTATATTTAAAAAACACGCAACACGGTGCCCATCAATTACAATACATAAAAATACGTAATAATTTAAATATTAATTCTATACCATACATGTCGCTTACATAAGGGCCTTTTATATTAAAGGCCGTGAAGAGTTGCCATTTTATTATATAAAGTCACTTGCACACGTGTATTTCTGTGCGCGTCACACACTTTTCGCAGGACACGCGGCAACACCAATGGAATTTACAGTGACATTTTGTTTCTTCGACTGTTTGAATCGTGTTGTAACCACGACCGCAGCAAAGAGTTTCACAACCATTTTCACCTGAAAAAAAAAATAAGAAAATCTAAGGAGCTTTTTCGTTTCTCTATGGTAAAACGTTTCGCCAATCTTCGCGTTAAGCGCTATAATCTATCAAAATTTATGAAGGCAAGTTAAAAGTTAGGGCACAGATGACTTATCGCATAATTTCACAAGCAACAGAAACAGGCTCAATTATGTATCTGCCCTTTGCCAAGGGGATTTATGTCTAAATTACATACGAAGATAAATCCCCTTGGCAAAGTAATAATAATCAATGGGTCTTGGATTCGAGCCCCACCAAGTAACATGTGTCTAATAATTTTATATTATTTTCTGAAATAATTAATTGGTGGTATATTTTAAATAATAATAATAATAATTAAATTGGTGGTTACTTTTAATGAAATTCCGTCCGGGAAAACCACAGATGAGAACGTCGTGAATTATAATGACGTTACGGTTTCAATCGTGAATTTCCAAAAATCTAAAGACTGACAGCGTGTCTTGTTATATGGCTGGGATATTTGAACTTCCACCAAGTGGACCCCAGGCTTGTCTGACCTGTTATAAAAAAAAACTACTAAGCATATTTACCTCGAGACGTTCGATTACAATGTCTCCCATGAGTTCCTAGTGACCCCGTCAATGGATCTGCTTCACAATATGACGGCGATGGTTCAAGGAAAACAAGTTCCGACTTCCGGGGTTGCCTGCCATTGCCCGCGTTTTGTCGAGGTCTGCAAATTGAAAAGTAATAAATTTAAATATTGTTATGTATGGCAAATAATCTATAAGTCGTGGATTCCAACATGTTTCTAAAATCAATTTATATGTCCCAGTTAATTCTGAACTACCGTCGCCGTTGTATATTTTTCTGAAGAATATTAATTACTTAGACTTTGTGTGGACATCAAACTTCTGTTCGTCCGGCTCCCGAGTCCATACATAAAACATCTGTGAACGTGTATTCTTCAGTCTGTGGATTTCTGAATGTCCAAATTCAAAATAGATCGACAGCATATCCATTAGATGTTATATTTCTCAGGTATTGTCTTCTGTTTCAAGCCTTACATTGTGTGACCCTAAACCCGCTTTATGTACTTTGTCATAAAAAACAACAATTTTTATTTCCTAACATTGAGGTTTTGAATAGGGCGTACTCACCGCCGTATGACCAAATGTGTTTGAGGCGCGTGAGTGGCAGGCGGTGGGTGTGGTATTACCATCCTCGCTCGATGATATTTTTCTCTCAATGCGGCGCCGACGGCTGCGAATGGCGGTAGGGCACGCCAGCACGTCCTCACTGCGCAGGAGCCTGACACGCCGTGACATTTGCACTCTCTGCGCACTAGATCTTTAACAATCTGAAAAAGAATAACTCGTTGACACTCTTCTGGTGTTCTTTCTCATACCCACCATATTGATCTAGTGCGGGTTGGTTGGTGGGCTTTAACGACTACCTCTAGTAAATTAGTGATGATAGCCAGCACGGCTTAAACAGATCGGGCTTATGGCATAATATAACAAGGGTTATATTATGTAGACATTATATATGCACACATTATATATACACATTTCCTACCTCCATACTGAGAGCTGGTACTAAATATTTCAACACTTTCAACGGTTTAAAACGCAAAATAAATTACTTAATAGTATTTTATTTAAATAAGTAGGTACTACTCGCGTGACTCAGAACCAAACTAAAGACTTGACATTAACTTCATAAGAAACAATCATTTTTCATCTATACAACGAGTAGGTAATAAAGCTGAATAGTCTTAAAGACCCCTAGTTTGATTTTCTTTTTTTGGTTTTAGTATCACGCGGAAAAAATTGGGAAAGCTTTGAGGGCATCCGTCGTGTGCGGTGCAAAAAACCAAAACCAAACAAGTAACCAAAAAATGTATGAAAGATTGATTTCTCTTTAAATGGTCTAAAAAATGCTGCGAGTATCATCATAGTCAACAAAACAAGAACAGCTAGTAGATCTTCAATTTTGAAGTATGTAATTGATTATTATCTGTGTTGCATGACTTGGCGGCGTGCGTATGAACGGCGCGAAAAAGAAAAAATGTCGTTATCTTGTTATGTTAAGTGGTTAATATACAAAAAGTAGTGAAGCAACAACAAGTAATAAATGCAGGGAATTTTGTAATCAGTAATCATATTTGGTTGAGTCGAATCAACATCAAAGCCTTTTTCTTGACTGACAACTTGTTTTAAGAAATATTTCCTGAGTTTGTTCTTCTACCTGTACAGACCGACATATTTAAGGTCTTAAAAATAAGTATAGTCTAATTAATATTAGAAATACGTAAAAGTCAAACACTGCCCGTAGTTTACGCGAGTAGTACACATTTAAAGAAAACACTTCAACGGCCGTGGGGAGACGTCTCCCCGTGACCACGTCATTTTCAAACAAGTTTAACTAAAATATATCGCGTTTTAAACCGTTAAAATGTTTTATTTAACTGTGTACTACTCGCGTAAACTACGGATATTATTTAATGTACCGATCTTTATGATCACTATTAAACGGTAAATATCGTTTATAATTCAGAGAATTAAGGGGTGGTCCACAATAAAATAAAATTGTTCGTGTAGTTTGTGAGGAATACGTGTATCGCCTGCAGGGTAATTGCCCCTTCGATACACTACATCGTTTCGCACAATAACATAATTAGGCCCCGTGGCGTCCAATTATGGTTCGAAACCTACTCAATAATAAGTGTATCATGTTTTATGCTCCTAATTTTTGCCATATCATTCTAATGTATAAGTATCTAATAATTAGCATATCAAGTTTACGTATAACGCGGTGCATGGAGGAGGCACACCTTTGTGTCCGTGTTTACTCTACGAGTTTATTTGCAAGCATTTTATAGCGACGATAGGAGAGTCAGAAATATGATAATCTTTGTAGTTGAATTGTTAATTTTCTTAATACTCTAAAACTTGTGAAGGCTTCAGTCGTAAAGGCTGCAGAAGTCAAATTAAAAACTGATTAAAATCTGTATATATGTTTATTACATCAGAATAATTTTTGCGTCAATGTTTGGAATGGAATGGAAAAGGGTGTGTCAAGTACTTTTACCTTCTTCTCTATTCTTATATCTTAAACCAAAAATTCCACCAAATCGAACCGGTGCGTATCGAACTCGATTCATTCTAGATTAAAGTCTAACCCCACTTACGTACAACCCCTAGCCTATACATACATTATTAAAAAACGTCGCCTACTTCTAAACTGACCCCACCTTGATATTATATTCAGGTATTCATTTAGCTGCGTAGTTTTTTATGTCAAACTTTTAATTTTTTTTTATTACTAAATTCATAATCTTGCGCAATAAAACGATTAAATGTATGATGTCCCATGTCAAACCCGATAGCTTGATTGAAACCTCGTATGTATAATTTGTAATAAAATTGCCACGTACAACATTCAAAGAAATTATTCTAATTGCATAATTATTACGAAATTATACATTCACAAGACGCGTTTACAATTTTCAATTGCGGGTAACCTTAGACGGCCTGAATTTAAACTGGGAAGAATTACATAATTACAAGTAACGTTATTTGAAACACTTTTAACGTTTCAAACGAGAAATATATGTCGACGACCTATTTTAACTTATGCTGCAAAGCATCCGAAACGTCGTCGGATGGCAATTAAAAATAATCTCAGAATTTCGCATTGTTAACCGTGAAAGTGTTTGATTACTGGTATACTAGTAATGTTTAAGTATGAATTGCGAATCGAAGTAAGCGCTTCTTAATTGTAAAACTATTAGCTAGCATTGTCGTAAGTTGACAACACAAAATAATATTTTCAGTTACACAGAGCATAGAAATCTAATTAAGTATTACCTAGTAAATAAGTTTGATTTGTGAAACGGACACATAAATGTGTCTGGGTTATAAAAAACAAGATTTATTGTGCGGTAGTCCGAAACATTAACGCTTTTTAAAATTCGGTGTTACACAACTTATATGTTGGCCCGTACAGTTTTCCTTACTAATTTACAGGGGATATCGGAACTATGTAATTCTTAGGTTCCCGGAAGCAAGGTTTTTAAAGTTAACTTCATATTTTCACTATATAATAAGTAACATCACGGAATACTGAGTCTGGTGATTGAGTAATACGAAGAGATTTATAGCAGTCCCTTGATTAATAAAACGGCATTTCTATTAACGAAACCGTCTCTGCCCACACTCGTAGAATTACTTCAGTCATTCGAGAAATTACACACATCTCAATAAGATGGTCTATATGCATTAAAGAAATTATAGATCTGCGGAAAATCTATTTCCTGTTATCAATGTGTCTTTAAGTAGTTACAGTAAGAGATCATAATGAATGTTTGCGTGTTACCACAAATAGTACCTTATATACACTTTTTCTTCATACGTTGCGTATTTTTAAAATCAGGACAGACAAACATAATATACTATATAGATACCATATTTTTATTAAATGGGCTTTACAGGTAGTGGTTATTTCTAAATTGGTAACTTGTGACTATTTAATTATTTGATGGTTGTCATTTTTATTGTAAAAAAAATTGTGGAACTAATTATGATTCAAATTTTCATCAGGTGCACCTCATTATAATTATCAGGTAAGTGAAAAAAAGTTATTATTTTTTAAAAATCGATAGTAATATTATAGTATAATCTATACTATATATGAGCGGAAGAATTTGTTTGCTTCTTTGTTTGAACGCGCTAATCTCAAGAACTACGGGCTCGAACTGAAATATTATTTGTGTTTGGTTAGAGCATTTATCGAGGAAGGCTATAGGCGTCGCGGTGTGACTACTAGTAATACAGCGGAAAATGTGGACAAAACGGGGGAAAGTTTTTTCATCTCCCTGGGGTTTCAGATGCTTACGCTGCGAAAACGGTCAAGACATCACAAACATAGTATAAAGATTGATTCCTCTTTAAATGATCTAAAAAAATCTTCGCGACACTATACGCCTATCTTTAAAGATTAAATTACATGAACGACGTTACCCGAACGACGGGACTCAACCGATATCGTGGGCAACTTAAATTGTTGCAATTGATTTTGCAAAAACAAATTTGGATCCAAAATAATATTCTACGCGACGAAGTCGCTAGAATACACACACACACACAGCTAGTAGTATTATATAGCTGAAGAGTTTGTTTGAACGTGCTAATCTCAAGAAGTACGTTAGGTTTGAACATTTTTTTATAAGGCTTTAGGCTATAAAACATCACGCTGCGACTAATAAGCTACGAGGCGCGACGACGTCGTGGGTAACAGCTTACATTTATTAAGTTAAAATTTGCAAAATAACGTTTGATATTTAGAATACCTATTCTTTGCGAACAAAGTTGCTGGCACATCTAGTACATAATAAGATAGTAAAAAAGTATATTATTAAAAAACCTATGATATATAAATCGCAATTTAAAAATTTGCAAACAAGACGAGTCATGTTAAAAAAGACTCCGGGCAAGGATTCATGCATTTTCATTTCTAGAGTTAGCACAGTGTAAGAAGTGTGTAGAGTGCACGTTAAAATGGAATAATCTAACCTCTCCTACCTTCCGTCCAACTCGATTGTTGTGCAGGTTCATGAGGCTTCTGGCATCGGCTTCTATCTCTCGTGAGTCTAGAAACCTTCTCGCGAATCGTGCGCCGTACGCCGACTCGCCACAGCCCCCCCATTTAAACTGTTCGGAAGGACTCGGCGCTCGTCTCCTGGAAATATTTGGATATTGGATTGTTTGGAGATGTTGGACATTTTTATTACGATAGAGGAGATCAGACAAGCGTAGAGTTCACTTGACTTAGGTGAAGATGCCATCCACCTATTTTGGCTTTGTATATTCGGAAATCTGTGGACTGTGACCGAAACGCGATGAAACTTAATGGTTTTTTAAATAAATATAAAATAATAATAAATATTAAAAGATTAAACTACATTTGAAAAAGGAAGCGATACCAAACGGGTCTTGATCACAAGTTGCAGCACAGTAATGCTAGATTATTATTTTGGGAACCGGATATGCTACGATACTGATTTTCAGGAAAATTCTGCTGTTCGGCTAGGCAGCGCTCATACAACCATTTAATATTTTTAATAACAGTGGGAAGCATTATTAAGTAATTATTAGTAACTATTGCAATTATTAACTTAAATAGGAGGTCGAAATTCTTCCGCGCAGCAACAAGGTGTTCTGGTAGAATTTTTTGAGGCTAAATAAACTGTTAAACAGACTGACCCTCTTAAATATTGATTAATCCTAGCACACCATATGTACAGTTTTGATTTTACCTATTCGAAGAGCAGCCGCAAGCCGGAAGGTCGCCTCTTGCGCAGGCCGTGCTGAGGGCATGCGTGACGCCCGCTGAAGTGATTGCGTACGTGAACGCCGCTTCACGAGTTGCTATAAAGAATAACACTTAATTTAACAAATTAAAAAGTATTTTATTATATTTGTTCTTAGAGTTGTATCTCAGATAATATAATAAATCTTGCAAACAACAACATTTCCATCGAAGAATAATGTCTATGATTAACTTTAACAGGCCGTTAAGTAGCTTAACCGGAGTTTGAATAACATTTGGATTTTAAATATTGTAACTGTTAAGTTTAACAATATCTTTTTTGTTTAATATTAAAAAACATTGTTATTGATAAAAATATGACATTTATAAGTTTATTTTTACGGTATCCATCGTGACCACGTCTGCTACAAAGCATCCGAAACTGTGTGTGTTAAAAGTAAGTTAGCTAATATATGTATATCGCGTTTTAAACCGTGTAAAACCGTGTAATGTGTGTAAACTACAGGCAATACTTGACATCTTTACGTCTCAGTGAAATTGTGTCTTTATCATAATTTGATTAATTCGAAAGCACTTCACCTGTTTCATGAAAAGTATAAGTCATTTGATTACTCAACGTAAACGTCGAGAGGCAGTCTTGGTGAGACGTGAATTCATAAATAAATCAAGCGTCGGCCGGTCGTGAGAACGGTCAACTTGAATGGACTATATGATATTTATCGAGAAGCTGTCATCTCGGGTACCTTAATGAGTCAATTAGTAAGCGATTGTGAGGTTTATGATGTTTATTCTGATCATTCGTGCATTCGGGCCTGCGAGTTGAAGTATCGTGGTTTTGACGGGCTCGTTGGTAGCAATGTACGTTTCAGTAAAACACTTATCGAAAACTACTTGTGGCCGCGACTTCGTCCGCGTAGAGTAGTTATTAGAGGCATCGAAATTTGTTTTTGCAAACTTCCGCCTCATTTTTATAAAGTTTAGCTGTTACACACATCGTCGTCCGCGTCCTGTCGTTTTTAGAAGTTAATCTTAAGAGATACTGTCTGTTTAGCTCCTTTAAAGAAGAATCGTTCTTTCATACATATTTTTTTCCACTATTTCTTCGCTCCTATTGGTCGCGGCATGTTTCTTAGCCTTCTCGATAACTGCTTTAACGAGCGCAAACATACTCATTTTCAATTCGAACGAGTAGCTTCTGAGATAAGCACGTTCAAACAAACAAACAAACTCTCCAGCTATAATATGAGTATAGATATATGTACTTGTTAGAATTTCTAATTTATTTTAACTAATCGTGTCGGATGTTTTACAATAACTGTGATAACAGAGGGATTGAAGATGGAGGTTATCTCTTACATTAAAGTCAAAACTGCTTCGCTAACGCCATCCGTTTCAGCGTACTTGGTATTTAGAGAAACGACGGGCCGTAGTTAAATTAAATTAAAAATAAGTTAACACATATATTCTGTGTTTCAAGCCGTTAGTTAAGGTATTATAATTAAATGTGTTCTACTCTCGTGAACTAGACAATCCAGAATTAAGGAATTTTATGGTTATTCTCTTGTGACAATGGTACTAAAAAACAATACAATTTTAGAATACAGGAAACAAAACTGTTAATCTAGATTTATAGAATTAAAGTTTAAATATAAAAATAATATTTAATGGCCAGGTAACGGGACCTTTAACGCACCATAGATAAAGTATTTAAAACTTACGTGAAAATTCCTTTAACTACGGTCCGACGTCATAGATAAAATAATGTTGTGTAGTAATCTAATCTAGTCTTAATAATAAATGTCGTTCAATTTCATTTCACTTTGAATTTGTTTCACAGACTATATTAATAACTTCAACCCTGAGTTAATAAGTAATAGCAAGGACTAGGTTATATTGACTTATACGTAAGTCAGTTCGGTATAAAATAATTGTAAATCATGGATAAAGTTAATGAAATAACCTGTATTTATTATCTGTGCTAGGGGTTGATAGCCGATGCCGTTCTGCAGGTTTGTGACATTCTTTGATAAATGTTTAATGCATGTACCCATCCAAGATGCAATTCACATAAGAGGGATCTACTCTTACAATTGTATATTGGCTTATTTCGCAAGCCTTATAATGTTTTTTGGTATTATATATATACTTATAACTAGACCTACGAGGCAAGAGTATACCTGTTATATATGACGGGTTTGTTAATGGCAATAGTAGTAATACCCGTTAATTATTAGCCATACAATAATCAACGGGTCGTGGGTGATTCCCACCGGGTCATTTCTAATTAATATTTAAACTCTTTTATCTTTTTCACATGTTATTGCACATGATGGCACTATATGAATTAAGAATTGATCCGGAATTATTAGCGATCCATGCTGTTGCTCTAACCATCTTGGAACTCAATTGCTTAAAACCAGACCTCGAACCGCGTGATTTGCACTAGAACAACAACGCAAGAGTGTATACATGTTAAATATTAATATTAAGTGCGGATAACATTGATTTAATATCTTAATTTATTGGTCACGCTTAAAAGGGTGAAACCATTACAAACCTGGCTACCTCGAGTCATCATAGCCATTAAGAGACGTCAATTAAAATATATGTATATGGCAATAATTACGACAGTCGTGAACGAATCATAATTATTGACAGATTTATGGCAATACCATTCAATTGTTTTGAATAAATGAATTTTCTATGCAATCAAGATTACATTTGAAATCTTAATTACATCAAAACAATGAATGACGGATGCATGTAGCGAGATTAAATCTGAGGTTTTTCTTAAACGCAACGATTGTTAATAAATTATGAGAAAATATTAAATATATTATATTCATCTAACAATTAAGCTCCTCAAAGTGTATATACGTAGAAATAATACTAATGTGGGTAGATGTATTTTAAAAACCTACAAACTACCCTCAACATAATATATAGCGATTTATAAAATGTTTACGTGTCAATACCTAAAAACTAAACACTATATGCTAACGAAGGAAAAGAAAGCTATATGGAAATAATTTTTCACGTGACTATACATACTACTCATTACTATTAGAGAAATCTTAATAAGAACATAAATTAAAGAATGTAAAGAAAGTCCATTATATTGTAATTAACATTCGGAATTGATTTTAAATTAAAATATCTTAAAACAACGATTTATGTTAATAGCTATGTTTACACGGATTTATAATAATTTCACGTTTTCTACGTTTATGCTTGAAGACACAAAAAACTAGATGCGACAGTTGATAAACATAACGAACAAATAATTCAGGCTTTGGTTTACGAAGTACTCGTATTTTTCGCTGTGTAAAACGTAGTAATTAAAAAAAAGTGACATATTTTAGCGATCAGAGTCAATCACTAAAACGGACACAAAAATATATGTCCTACCCAGTCTTTCCTCCAGGTGTGAAGCTATCAAAGATGTAAATTTGTTTATATAAGTTCAATGAGTTCGAAAATTTAAGATAAAAACAGATAAAAAATTATAAGTTATAGATTAAATGTTTATCTAGTATTTTAACTCCTAGTAACGTTCGCAGCGAGGTTATAAAGTTGACATAGATATTACTTGGCTATCATATTCATAATTTATCATCGACTGAATGTATTTACATAAATATTTCATTACGGTTTCGTGCCTCCTTCAGCCTTTGTTTACAGGGAAAATGCATTATTGATTGCTGCTATTGTGTGTATTAATTGATTTAGTATTTAAGTAAAACTTCTTAAGGGGTAAAACTATGAATTTCGCGATTTACGCACGCATTTGGGCTACGTAACAAAGAACGGACATAGTAGTGTATCTGTCCCATACCTCATATAGAGTTAAACGAATTTTACTGTTTTGGAAGAGGTAGATAGAAGAGGTATTGGTAAATAATTGAAACGGTCACAAAAATATCTCAGCCCCACGTAGAGATATCGTGACTTCACTTAACTAATTATTTCATTCGATTTAATAAATGCAATCTGTTTCAAGTTTTATCTTCACTCTTTCGTATCGTCTATTGTTTTGACTTTATCTATGGTAACTGTCAAAATAATGTGAGATTGACGAACAAAATGGCGCCAATTGAAAAGTCACTGGAACTTGTCTGTCAATTAACGTCCGGAGTAATAAAATAAATTATCTGACAAGGCGTCGCGATAATATTGTTCCGTACTTTTGAAATGTCGTATCGGACTGGTGAAGTGTAAAATTTCGATATCGATAAATTGTTTGTGAAATCAGAATTACAGTAATGAATTAAATTGTTTGAGACTTAGTTTTGTGGGTGGTTGATGGATTTAGTTCTATGGCGGGAGGGAAGGCTGAAATATGAGGTATGTTGGTAGTTGGAACTTATATTTATAGGACAGAATATGACGAACGTGGGTTTTTAAAACATAACACGCCTTCGATACAAATGTTTCTTTTTTATGTCTCGTTTAGATAATTACAGAGCATAAGCTTATTATAACGTATATCAATATTTAAATGATAACAGTGCTTGGTGTTTAGAAGAACCCGCTCTAACTAGGAAAAATGTGTACAAATTAAGTGCATAAAGAATGTAACAAAAAATCTGGCGAGTTTCTTGCCAGTTCTTCTCGTTCGTTCGCCCTTAATCTGGGAACTGTTAGTTAAACGTATATTTTGAGTTTAAAATTTTTAACTATTTTGACCTTCATAAGCGTACCCAGCTACCTTCCTACATGAACAAATAATTATTGATTTGAAGTAGTGTTAAATTGTTAGTACATACAAAGAGTATTTATGTATAATCACAACGTAACGATGTTTTGTATCGTGCTGAATATTGTGTCGCCTGTAGTACACATTTAAATGAAGTACTTTCAACGTTAATTTGAAACGTCTGGTAGTAGTTAAAATTAAGTTAACATATTAAGCGTTTTGTTTCATTGTAGTATGCTAATTTTAGTTAATTGTAATACTTAGGAAATTATAGAGCAAATAATACCAGGTAAGCTTACGGAACATAGTATGTTATTATGTTAAGCGATAAATTATATCTTACAAGGTAATGCGTAATAAATTTGAACCTATCAATTTTGATTGATAACATTCTACAGATTGATTAAGTTTTTTGCGGGTGTTTCACGTTAAAATAGATTAATCATAATTTAATCAACCCGTTCGATTACTATGAACTCGGTTTTTGTGAAGCTTATACTATGCACTGTTTAGTTTTAACCTTACCATCTCATCGTTACGTAAATGTCTAATGATATAGGTAACCCAAATATTTAGTGGATATGAAATGGGTCACCGTCCACAGATGAAAAATCCGTGAATACACTTCACGCTTCGATTTCAGTCGGTGGATTTTCGAATATCCAAAGCCAGAAAAAGTGGACAGCACATCTTGTTTAGATTAACAGCTCGGGTATTTCATCTACCATGAAATGAACCCTAATATTGTCTGTCCTCTATCACAAACACACAGAAGTCTGATCATTCTATAAACAGAATCGATCGGTGAAATGGCCACAGAAATGAGTTTTAGTATAATAAATTTTTATCATTCTTTATTGAAAAACAACAAAACTGGTCATGCGCCGACTGTCATGTGTTTCAGTTCCAGTGGTAGGCATGTTGAAGCATCTTTTTAATAAATTCATACAAAATAACAAAACAAAAAGCATGCGGCTCCACTGCAGTAGAGTTGTGATGCACCCGACACGACTAATCGTAAGGTGTAAAAAGCCTACACAAACACAAGTCAATTAGCCGTGCGGTATAAATCACTCGCGTCAATGTGGGTGTGATATCGTTCGTTTATTTGTTTTAGTTTGTTTTTTATCCAGCTCATTTGTTCCACTACGTGGTTATGTAAATTAGAGTTTAAGCTTGAGAAAGTCCTTTTATAAAACACCTATAAGAAGCTTATAGTTTTTATAATAGTGGCGAAGTGATATTAAAAAAAGTGATGTTTTAGCATGTTTTTCCCACTATGTAGTATAATTGGTGAAAAAAAGTTAAATAAAAATAATTAATCATCTCTTTTTAAATTGATTGAGTATTTCAATTTTAATATCTGCCTATCACAATTAGCGGTCAGCGACCGAATTCAGTGATAGCAAACCTTTGGTTGAAACTATTTCATTGCAAGAAGTAGGTGCTTAGGTACGAGGTTTTATTACATTCTTTATAAAAAAAAGATTGAGAATCATTGTTATAAAATATATGCACAATCTGAAAGATATAATATCTGATATAAAAAAATAAAAAATATATAATTAACGTATTAACGTTGATATATGTTATTTATAAAAAAGTTACCTTGTTTAATTCTAATTAATATCTTCAACTCTATACGTTTTTACAATTGTTGATTTTTTTTTCTGTAACTCGCTGAGCTACCCAGCACTGTTTACCGCTTGCAACAAGTTAGTTTCCTGCTTCTTTTAACATCAAAGTGAAAACGACTATCTTATTCTCCATCTAAAATATTATTACTAAAATTATTCGTATTTATAAATATTCATGGCAAAAATAGGAAGTTTAAATTTATTTAGGTTTATAGCTTCTGACTGCGCAACAGTTATAAAACCCGCTTTTGGTTAGTCTAGGTGTAGGTTTCTTCTTTTAAAATTATCATAATCTATATTGAAACTAATACAATTATGTCGCACTTAACAGCTTAAGCACTTAAGCAAGTTTATCTCGTAGAACTAAATATTCTTGTAGTATACTTAAGAATTTACTCAGAATTATAAGACCTTTATATAATTTGTATAACCTTTTGAATATGGAATATAAGACCAAAGGTTGCAAATAACGCACTTCCGGTGTTATAAGCGCATTTTTGTTTTACTTCCTCTATCAACCAGCGCAAAAATAAAGCTTTTAAGTGTATTTAACTAAAGCATTATTATTTAAGCAAAACTACGAAGAAATGGCTTTTTTACCCCCACCCAATTTTTCCTTTGTTTGAAAAAAGTTGTCATGACAACCAAACAGCATTTTTAATGTCTATACGTATCTTATATACTCCTAGAATTCGTGTTTCGAACAGACGTGGTTGGAAATAATGAAAAAATAAATAAATAAAATGTATATAAAGTATAAAATTTTATTTGTATTTGGCATATTATACTGAGGCACGTGTCTACTTAAAAAAACATTTAAAAGGAGGTGTCCAGCTGTGACAGACTAATTTAATTTAATAAACCTCACTTATTATACAGAAATAAACATAAATGAAATAAAAGTCTTTTCCCTAAATGTTACATTGAATTTACATATAAAGTTATCATTTTGTACTACGTTACTATCAAATTAAAAAACGTAAGGTCGTCAAAGACTCAAAATGGTCTTTCTATAAATATTTTTTTGATGATTTTTAAAATTTGACTTAACAAAAATGAATTGTTTAGTGTTTATTTCAAGATAGGCTATAAAACATGATGAATATCGGAAATTACGACATACATGTTGAGCTTTTTTAGTAAATTGTTAATAGTTGTAACTTTTAAATAAATATTTTCACGGTTTAACAGAAATCTCCCCGTGACCACGGCTGCTGCATAATATCCGATTTTTTTAAAAATAAGTTTACATTTCGCATTTTAAACCGTTAAAAGTGTTTTAATTCAATGTGTACCTGTGGCGTTAACGACAGATAGTATTGTATAATTTCTACACATTCATAAGTAATATGTTAGTATCCGTAGAGGATCTAAATATGCACTTACCTAAAGGCATGACATGTCCAAAGTCGTTTCCGTCACCAATCCCTGAACAGTTCCATCTGTATCCTCCCAACTGGTTTCGACATTCTGCGTACGCCATCCTAAAGTCGAAAAAAAATCTCTATTACAAGGGCCCAGCAGTTCGAAAAAATAAATTGCTTTTCAAAAAATCTTGTTAACATCGCAGTAATTTATTTATGCATCATTTAAATTTTAATGTCAGGTGCGAACGCAATTCAACAGTAAACTTAAAAACATAAGGAAATACAAAATGTGATAGAATCTGAGAATTTATTATTTCTATTATAAGAATAAAACTTTTATTTATATGAAATGTTTTCGGTATGCAGTCAAATCTAACACCCGAAGGTCGTTACTTCATGACATTTGTCTAAACAACATTTGGTAGCAGTCTAAAATACCTTAGTCCGTCTCCAACAGCTGCAATGGCAGCAGGGGAAGATCGACACATAGCTCGCTGTTTGTCTGTCAATCCGGCCACTCTTGCGCAAACCAGATGGGCACCAAGAGATACTCCACCACAGAAGGTACTCCTAGAACAAGTAGAATGATCGATAAGAGAATAATGGTCAATTTATAGTCAAGGTCTCTTATTAACAATATAATTATATACCTCCTAGCTTTATTAAAGAAAGTACTTTTCGACATCTAGCATTAGCATTATTTCGCAATTCGTGTTCAACGCAGTCCTGCATGTTTTTATCATAAAACTAAAGAGTTTTTTTTGAACAATAATATTTTTCACATTTATTGACATGAAGGCACTATAAATTTAAAATCGAAAATAATTGAAATTTGCTCGGGCAGGACTTGAACCGATCGTCAGCTTTTATCTATAACTGAATTGAGTTTGTTCTTTTTCTTTGTGTCAACGCTCAAGAACAACTGGTTCGAATTGAAAATTATTTTTATGTTAGATGAACCACCTATCGAGGAATGCTTTATAAAATCATCACACTGTTCGATAGGCGCCCAGGAAGAGTCGAAAATGTGTGAAAACGGGGAAAAATATTTATCTTTAAGGGTTTTTTGCTGTATTCGATGCGTAAAATTTTACTTAAAAAGATCTACAAAAACTCTGAGACGGCATATGTCTATCTTTTAAGATTAACCTACAAGAACGACGGGGAGCGGACGACATCATGGGTAACAGCTATAATTTTTAATGCTGAGGAGGTTGTTACCAAAAAAAAAAAAAAAATGATGCCCAAAATAAATGACTACATGCGGACGAAGCTAATCTTAGCATCCAATCATAATACCTGTATTTTAAAGAAAACAAAAACATATATTTGGAGACGATAATATCAACTTTTTGATAAAATAATTAACACAGGAAAGAGTATTAAAATTCCAATTTGTCACAATTAAGTCGCGCCTACAAGCATTAACATATAAAAATCAATACTCGAACGATTATCTTTACTTTTCCTCTAATTTTCTCAACATTAGAGCCAGAATCGTGTGTGGTGTGTTTAGCTGTAACGTTCATTAATACATCTTTGTTAATATGACCAATTAACGTTTAGCCGCGACATGGCCAATTCACACAACGCCCACCTACTGAAACTATGAACAAACGACATATAATGGCGGTCGCAACGCATCATAAAACTGTACCTTACAATCACGATTAGTTTTCAAAAGACATCTGTATATTACCAGCTTGATCTGTCAGTGTCTCATACAAGAAGAATAAGAAATAAATAGAAAGAAGAAGATAAAGAGATGAAAAGCCCGGTACAGATTTTTCAATTTTATAAAAAAACAGTAAAAAAAATCCATGTAATCACGAATGCTAGAATATATTTTTTTGATATTAAAAATAAATACCGTTTGTGTGTTAATGTGAAAAAATGAAAAATTACTTCAATTTATATATATTTTTTTATTCAATAATATATGGAAAACCTCAGATTACAGTGATAAACAATTTATTAATAAGAATAATAGAACAGTGAAGCTTAAGGAAGTTTTCACTTATAGGATAAAGAGAGTACATTTTTACTACTAAAATATTCTTATGACTTTTATAAAAAAACCATACAACAGAGACAAGTTTACGTGCAAAGTTATATGTGGTATGTTATTAGGGATTATATCTAATTTCAGTAAAAACCGGAAGTTAGTATTGTAATTTTAAAACGAGCAACGGAACTCCGCTTACCATTGTCTCTGTAAAAGGATTTGTTCATTCATAGCAAAACAAATATTCATCAGAACATAGCTTAAGAGTCAATGTACTAGCATCTCGAATAGAAAATAATTACAAACAAATAGCATCGCAGTATTGTGCATTTATGTATTACATATGTTAGAAGCACTACACACCTTAACTACTAAAGTGTAATTTTGAGCAAAATTCAAAAATTCCTAATCGGTCCATAAAAATACTCTATCTTCTTCATCATTAAATGACAATATGTTAACTTTTAAGATTTAAAAGCGAAATATGTTATTATTATTTACAGGTTGTAAAATAAGTTAACAAATATATGTAGGTTTTAAAAATTAAAGTTTTTTATGTTATACCGCACAGACAATATATAAATAACCTACAGACAATATTAATAGGAAATAGCCTAATAATAAGTAATTTTAAAAATATTAATCTAAAGAGCATAGTAAATAATTTTAATTTTTAATAATAGTAAAGTTATGTTCTTTTGAAATATATAAAAACAAAATAAAGGAAGGTCTTTATTATTATTGAAATAAAATTATGGTAATATTAAAAATAATTATTTAAGTTACTCTTATTATTGATGTTATTTAATGTAATATTTATTTTTAATTATTTAATTCATTGCTTACGTTAGCTCTTAGACTATGTTATGGTCAGTTATATGATGTTATGCTATTGTTGCATTGAGAATCTAGTTCAAGTCACAGTGAGCTAATGAATGTCACATTAGGAATGTAAAATGAGAGCGAATGTATTCAAATTTGACCATGCTAATACCGTTTGAATTCATGACATTGTTCACAAATGAAATTATGCCGAATCAAATTTGCCTCTGCATAAATGGAAGCGGATTGTTCGCTTTTGGAGCGGAACCCTAGTCTAGTCTCGCAGGCAGGGTAGACATAATGCGATGGATAAAAAAAATTGAGACGCTGTTTTCATATTGAATATAACATCAAGAAATCTTATACATTTTTTTATGATAGAGGAGGGCAGAAAAGCATGCGATTTAGTTGATGATAGGTAAAATACACCAGCCATAAAACATCTAAACTAAATGCGCTGTCGACCTTTTTTGGCTTTGGTAATTGGGAAATCCACAGACTGAATTCAAAACTTGATGGCTTCTTTATATGTGGACGGTGGTTCGTGTATTTCGATATTCCTAACACCTATTTCATATCCAGATTTCCAGACGAAGTCCAACATGTTTTAGACAAATTATAAGTTGATTAAAAAGATGTTACATCCGGTGGGGATTAAATCCATGACCCGTTGATTATTAGCCATAGATTATATTTGCTACCATTATATCCACGAGCCCGACAAAAAACAATTTGATGGCTTTGTTTTTTTTTTTTTGCTAAAATCACAATTGAAAATTAACTCCGGGCTATAGTTTACGGTGCTGACGGAATTTAATTATTATACATATTCAAGTCTCCTTCAGCTCGGATCCAATAATATGCAGTAATAAACTTGTCGGTAAAAGCGTCGAGTCTGTTGCCAGTTTTTTACGTTTGTCTTCTTGATTACCAATATTTTAAATTGTGAAAACTTTTTAAATAGTACCGACTGATAAGCAGTGTTTTTAACTAAGTGTCGCGTTCAGTTAGGTCCATAATAGTACATTATGATATAAGTGCGGTAAGTTGAAAATTACAGCCGAGGCGATATTACTATAAGAAAGCAGAGGCTGTAATTTTCAAAGCGCACGTATTTCATACGACGTTTTATAACATATTTACGAATAAATTAATAAAACTCTAGCTTAGTTAAAAGAATAAATCTTTAATTAATTGTTAAAGCAGTTATAAGCGATGCGCGCGCATCAACGTTTTTTTTAGGCAAAGGTACAAAAACAGCCAGTATTACTAATAAAGTAAATTAATATTTTTGTCTTTTTGTTATAGATAAATGGTTGTAATTTATTGTCAAAATTAATTAAATTAAAGAATTAAATGTTTATTTGTTATATTTTATCTCCCAAAGTTAATTTTATTCATAAAATATTGACCACTTTCTTGACATAAAACCTCTTTGCTAAGAAAAAGAAAACGTGCCTTTTACATTATATTATCGCACAAGTGCGTAATGAGATACATTACGATATTGAAATTGGTGTCTTCGAAGATTACAAGCACTTTACGAGCAAATATATTATAAAAGTAATTTATACTAGTAAGACTTCTGAAAACTTTAATATTTTTATTATATACATTAAAAATCTACTTGATTGAAATAATCTACACGGGCGGAATGTGAACCGACATCCACAGTGTTCCGTGCTCAATTGGTTAGAGCAGAAGCTATTTTTTATTTATTTTAAATTTTTAATTTATAGTTCATAATAACTTGGACTATTTATCTGCAGTAATTATTTTGCACCTATATATAAGAAGCAGGATAACTATTAATATTTACACAAGTGAGGCTAGGCCATATCACAGTCAAAAGTTAATGGTCCGTAAGATTAATGATCAAAAGTAATTACTTATTTCCGAAGTAGGTTAATGATATACACAGCACGTAATTAGAATAGTGTAATTAATAATTGTACTTTCTACTTCACTGACCAAATATTGTAATTAAAAATTTAAGATAGTTCGGAAAGTTTTCAGAAAACATAATTATGATCTCGCTGTGTTTGTTGCCGAACTCCTTAAAAGATTTTTTTTTTCTAACCAAGATGCGCAGTTGACTTATTTTGGCTTTCGATATTCGGAAATCTACAGACTGAAACCGAAACGCGATTGAGCTTCACGGCTTTTTCATCTATCGACGGTGGTTCGTGACCCGGGCGGAATTTCGATATTCGTCCATCCATTTAATATTCCAATTTTCAGACGAAGTTCAACATGTGTGAGTAAAATCAGAAACACGTTCGACCCGGTGGGAATCGAATCCACGACCCCTTTATTAGCCTATTGCTACCATTAGACCAACGAGCCGTTCTTATGAAATTTTTGCTTGATATTGTTTTTATATGCCTATATTATAAGACGCGCTTTTACACTAGTGCTTAAAAGCTTAGTGTTTATAAACCGAAATAGACTAATTCAATATAAGAAGCCAATAAGAAGCAGGAAACATAAATTTCTCTCAATCTACGACAAATATTTCTAAACCGGTGTTACCCACTCGTCTGTCTGTCAGTTTCTAATAATTGTAGGAATTATGTTGTGGATAACACTACTTTGAAACCTGAAGCGACTACTTATACAGGCATATTTATATTATAAGTAGTATTAAGTAATGAAGATTTAACTGGACTGCGCTGCGACTGAGTCAAATCAATAAAGAGTTATGTATTTTTCCGATTGGTCAGATCTAAGTTCTCATATTTTC